GGTGGTGGTGGTGGTGGTGGTCCTCATTGGCAAGGTTAACAGACCAGAAAAGTGAACAACCGTTCCATGATAATCATTTGATGAGATCATGTTTGCACCTCTCGGGGAGTTGAAACGTGGCATTACGGAGCATACGGACCTTGGTTTTTTCTTGTTCACGCATGCTGTGGCACAACCTGTTAGATTCGCACATTGCCTAGCTTGTGCTGCAGCAACATTGTATCGACAATATAAAGGGCCGTCTGCTGTTGTGGGCTGAAACTTTTTCGTTCTTCCATGTTTGACACGGCGTGTGGCGACCTTGGCTCTCGGTTCAACAAAGCTCTGAACCCTCACAGACCCAAAGTGGCTTCCCAGGAAGTGGATGCCGAGCTCTTGACTGCTGTAGAGGATGCGGCTCGCGAAGCACCTGAGGCCCCGTAGCTAGCACAAAACTGCTCGTAATTTGTTGCTCTGGGATTGTGCAGGAAAGGTTTGCCAGCTTGCATTCTGCACGTGGATGTCTGGGGGCTTTGCAATTTTAGATTACTTCCTGGAGCCCCTCCTTCCGCAGGCCCTTCGCCAAATCAAAATGGAGCTACGCTGCGCAGAAATGGGCTTACGAGAAGATGGTGAAGGTTGATGTTCATCAATTCAGCAGAGAAGCTCTTGCATATCTTTGCATAATTCAGGGTACGGCCACTTACACATTAATGTGAGTGTGAAGCCGTGTTGCAGTTTTGCTGGCAGTCGTGCCGGGAAAGAGATTCTGGCAGGCCTCCAACATTGTACAGTCAGCTGTACAGAGCAAATTGAGTTAGGGTGGACTGTACAGAGTACCCGGCCATCCGCGATCGATTAAGATGCGTGAAAGTCCTATTCGCAGATCGACATGCAGATGTTTTCCATACGTGCCGGCTGGCAGAGGCTTAATGGTTCGGACCACGACACCTGAACGCCAGGAGCTGCACGACTTGTTCGAGAAGTGTCCTGCTGCGGAATCTTTGGTGTCAATCAAGAAAGATGTGAACAACACAGTCTGGCTCTCACGCATCAGATCGTCGTTTGCAAGCATGCGACAGTTTCTGCACTGTTTGCAGTGTCCTGTCGGCCATCAGTTGATGAAATGGCAGTTTCCCTAACCAGGGGGACCCCAATTCAGACCCTGAAATACTACAGTCCTTATTACAGGGACCCTCAACAGGGTACTCCCCAATTTTGGGAAATCCCCAAACGTCATGAGTCTGAGCCACGGTGTGCAGCAGTCCAGGCATTTGTCACCTTCCAGAATGACATGGCTGCCACAGATGCGGCTCTGTGGCTCAGGTCATGCGTGGGAAATTTTGGCCCATAAACCCTACGTACAGCCTAAACCCTAAATAGTAGTTTCCATTTTCTTTTCCATTATCCCAATATAACCCCTATATAGTTGCTTGTGAACAGAGTCTAGTGCGTGGACGAGGTGACGACTAAATCGCGTGGCCTGAATTATGAGGGTATTGCCACTCTTGTTACTACTTGTAAGACAGGACCAGACGGAACCCCCTCATATTTGGAAAACCCCATTAATCTGCGCTAGAGTCTAAACTCCTTAAAGGGGGCTATTTAGGGGATTATATAGGGGACTAGGAAAGGGGATACTAAGGGTCATGCTAGGAGTTTAGACTATAGCTCATTTTTTAATTTCTTTCCCAGAAGCGCGCAGGTCCCAGAAAATCCGTGAGAGCATCGTCAAGTGCTCCATCAAGCCCCAGCCTTGATCCGGGGTTCCTCCGTAGCTCATGTGGGTAGTGATTTATTTGGGGATATTATGGTACCCAATAGAGTCAGATTATGTCCTCCTTTTTGGGTATAGTATCTATATAGCAAGGAATATAATCTTACTAGGTTCAACCACCAAAAAGCCCTACTCATGGGGGAGCTTCCAAAAATTGAGTGGGGTCTCCATGTTGAATGACAGTGTTTCGGTTCGTTGAAGGGGCCCCCATTTTTTGGAAATGTCCCTCTAGCCTGCTAAGATGATCAGAGTAGTTCACCCAGGTCAGAGCAGTTCTTGCGCAGCTTTTTTCCAATGCAGCCCATGGCTGGCTTTCCGGCGCACGGTCCTGGCCTCAAATCACAGACAGGGAGTGCTTTGTAGTCGCTCAGACTGTATCGGGGTTTGCACATTCGATGCTATAGCACCATAACGGTAAGACTCTGCCCCATTATAATATAGTAGTTTCCATTTTCTTTTCCAGTATCCCAATAGAACCCCAATATAACCACAAAATAATCCAATAAAAGCCCAATATAACCCCCAAACCCCAATATAAGCTCCAATATACTATAGTAATGTGCTCCTCTGCGTTTTTGCTGGAAGGTGTCCCGCCCTGGGCTGCAGCCATGAACTACCAGGTGGAAACCTGTAAAAGGCATAAATGGTTAGGGTTTAGGGCTTAGGGTACTATAATTGGAAATAAAATGGAAACTACTATATTATAATGGGGTTGCATTGGGGTTTTACAGAGATAATGGAAAAAGAAAATGGAAAGTATTATATTATGGATAAGCGGTTAGATCCTGCCCTGCCCGGCCTTGGTGTTGGGAGCTAAGAAGCCTGGTTTCAAAATTATGGTCCCTTTTTTGGGTCCCTATTGTAATACGGCCCCTAATATTTAGGGTACCCAAAAAGGGACCATAATTTTGACAACCACCCAAATATTATTGTACGTAAGGCGTCCCGATTTGAATTGTAGGTTTATAGTCACGGTTTGTGGCTCTGCAGAAGGTGTGGGGTGCCAACGCTCCTGGTGGCTGGGCCGTCACAGAACTCAGTTTTCCTCGAGGATTCTAAATTCCTTGCAGTTCATTGTTGGTGAAGAATGCGGGCCGTGCCGTGAACTCCACTGAATTGGATGAGTATAGGTTCCTGGGCCACCAAGCTGGATGACCCCATCGCCGGATGCTGGCAAGGAGCCCTCATGACTGATGTTCAACATCTCTTTCTTGTACATCTTCGTATGACAGACACCCTAGTCCAACTTTCATCCCAAAGGTTTAGTTCCTAGTTGTTTGGGCACGTGAGACAGGCCGTCACATATCATGGTGTTAGACCATGTCTCAGCATGCTGTAGGACGGAAAGGGCAAAGGGAAGGATGGCCTGGAGAAGGGCCACTTCAAAGGCAAAGGCTGGCAGCTAAGCGTGTCACTTTTCTTTTGTCCAGGCCTGTTGTCATCAATTTGATTAGATTTCTTTTGGTATGCCAAATGTGACCGCAAGCGCTGTCAAGATTTGTTATCAGTTCAACCACCTACTAACGTAACATTTCTGCTAGGCGAGCTTCTCAGATCCCCTCTGCCTGCCTTTGAGCACGATAGTCACCAAAATCAACTTGTGTGTGTCCCAGGCATGATGAAGGGAAAGGAGAAGGGCGACATGTACAAAGGTGGCAAGGGGACTCCCGGCAAGGCGCCGCTGGATCAAAGCGTTGAAGCCGCTTCAGACAACTTCGTTCACGTCTGTTGCTGCGTGGCTGCTGGCAGGGATTCGACATGAGCTTCGAAAAAGGCTTCGAGAAAGGAAAAGGCTGAACTGCTGTCATGTTCGGTGAAGGCATTGTCAGTACAGCCGATACTTTCAGATTCAATGCCAGTATCTACTTAGCCCTGGTACTTGCCGCCGGAAGTCGCCGTGCCTACAGACATGTCACTTCGGATGTATAGGCAAAGGAAAGGGTGACGGAACAACCCGCTGGGGACTTACTAGAGGATGCACTCGCGACTGCATGATGTGCGTACTCGCCAGGACATGTCTAGAGTTGCCATCATTTCAACATCTGGGTGAATCATCGTAGTGACATGGCACGTGTCCTTAGAGGATGGTGTGTTCACCACTTACACAACCTCGGACGAGACCTGCTGGTTTATGATGTCCAGCAAGATAGACTTACAGGTAGGGAATAAGGGAATATAATCCCATATATGGCTGTATCCGAAAATGACGTGTCAGGTCAGAAATTCATGTAAGGATGCATGTTTGACCAACAGGTCAAGAGCCATGTACCTACGAAACTTACTTCGAAACATGCCTTGAACCATACCCCGAAACATACCCAATCCAAACATGCATTTCTGACGGCAACGCCCATGAACCCTGTATTATCCCACAATCCCTTTATAATATGTTCCCATATTCCCTGCTAAGAAGAAGTAAGTAGATGCTTGGTTCAATCTTGGCCGATGACATAACAAACTGCTGCTACATCTCCGGGCTCGCGCATAGCATCTTACTTGTTCTTAGTAGGGAATACGGGAATATCTTCTATAGGGATAAACACAGGGGTTATATGGGGGTTGTCCGAAAACCCTTGTCTATGATTTGTATGAACGAAAACCAAGTATAACATAATTTGTGTCAAAAACCCTGCGCGCAAGCACGGCGCAAGGTTGGCGCAAGCGTTTGACTCATGAACTATAGCTGCACGCCAGCCATCTGGTCAACAGCGAAAATTCAAAATTGCACGGCGAATCCGCGCAAGCATCGCGCAAGCTCCGCGCAATGCAGGCTCCTGCAAGCGCGCATAGCTGTTGGCAGCCTCTATCCCATTCTGGCTCCCTGAATGCTCAGCAGCGATGCTTTGACGTTCAAGAAGTGGTTCGTTGCTGGCCAGCCTGGCCTGGCTGAAAAAACCTTCAGGTCGATCTCGCTACGTAGACAAGATCTGTTGCTGAACACTTAGGCTCCATGAGCAAGGGCGAGGCGGATTTTCAGGCCCGCTGCTGCATTGCAACATATTGCAACGATGATCCAACGACAGCCGGATGGCGGCGAACATTTTACTGTCAGGCCTTGCACAGCCAGGCTGACATTGGCAAGGCATGATTGGGAGTTGTTCGCTGTACCAAAGGCAATGTACTGGCACAGGCAGCAAAGGTACGGTGGCCAGACTTTTGTTCGTTCAAAGTGATGATAGGGCCATTTAATACAAAGCGTAGTCTTACAGTAGACGAGATGATGAAGGAACTTATAAGATCTCAGTCTTCTGACAACGCGACGCAAGGCAGCTGATACGGACGACGAGCTCGGGTGCCCCTGGGATGTTTGTGGTGCTCAGATGCTGAAACGCTTCTTTTTTTTTGTCTACGAGCCTACTCCTACGGCTTCCCTCTTCCCGTCATGAGTTTTGCCGCGATTGAGCGCAACCGTGAGAACTCGTACGAACTGCACGGCCATCACTGGCAGGCTCCTTTCAACCGCAGGGGCACCTCAGCTCATGACACGGCCGTGCTAGGTATCAGCATGACTTCCGGCGGTACAGCAGGCAGCAAATCGTGGAGGTCCATTCTGGCAGTGATGTTTTTTGGCAGACACCTGCAAATTGGCCAAGGTTCACATAAATAAAAGTCTACGCACAGTTTGCATGTACTAGTTCACGGGCTGTCCTGCATGTATGTACTTTCCTGACTGGTTCTACAATCAGCCTCGCATCATTCCGTTTTGCTTGAGTGCTTGCTCGATGTTTGTGCCGTCCTTATTAGAGGATCCGTGTGTTGAACTCCTGACTAGTTTTGCCACTTGCTTCGCAGATTTGCAGCAAAATGGAAGTTGTGGAGAAGCCGGAAAGTTACAAGAAGCCTGGCGCTCGGTTTCAGCCCAGCATTCGAGAATCCAGCATTGGTATTGTCCTGCGCAGACTGTACTTTACCTGCACTTCAGCGTACGGCGCCTCTGTCCAGCTGCAGGATAGAATCCAAATTTCCGGACTTGGCCTTGTTCAGCGAAACGCCCAACAAGGCCCATCATCGCACATGGAGATTTCTAGAAAAGACACATTCCACAGGCTTTGTGAGCGGCATGGATGCGCCCAAGCTTGGGAGTTTCAGTTGCTCGCCATCGCACGGAGGATTGGGCTCCCCTGCCGACTCCCGTCGACAGCTTTCTTGGTTCCGAGGGCCGAAGGATGGGACTGCTTCAGCAGGATTTGTGTAATGCCGCCTGGAAGTCCTTAAGACATGCACTTCCGATGCTCGAGTCTTCATGGTCACGAAGCAGATGCCAGCCAGAGTTGATACGAACGTAAAGGGCCTGCCCTAACTTCGGCAATTTCCCACGGATCCACCTTGGGCTATCAGCTAGCATCAGAGGTTAGGATCAGGGCGCAGCTTGCCTGCGAGCTTTCAATTTTGGATGTGTGCAGCGCATTCTGGGATTTACTGGGGCTTGGACATGAGAGCCAAGAGGCGCTGGCATTCAACATGTGTTCGGAGAAGTGATACCCGTTCTGGACGCGCACAGATTTATAGCTCAAATCCCGAAACCTTGCAGGGCTGGCGAGGACAGCGACCTTGACGGAGCACCGCGGGGTCGTGGG